TGATCTGCTGGCTTTGCAAGGATTGCTCAGCGGGCCAGCAGTGGCGGTAGTCCCCCCGTCCCCCAACGGGCTTAGTTTAAAGCCCGGTGGAGGAGGTCAGCCAGTCTGGCTGAGAAGAGCCTCCTCCCTAGGGGAGAGAGGTGGAGGCCATCCCTTCCCAGCAGCTCGCTGCCTCTCTCGCCAAAGAGCGGGCTGTGGTCATGAAAGCCAAAGCCTTCCTGACGACACCAGCGCTGCAGTCTTTGGTTGACCACATAGATCCTCCTGTCCCTTCTCAGCCCATAGCCTGAGACTGGGAGGATCGACGAGAACACCACCTGTGCCCCCAGACCCTTTAGCCCCGCTCCCAAATCCCTGTAGCGCCTCATGACCTGGCTGGGTGTGCCCAGGGCAGCAAGAGGTGCGAACCTGTTGCTCAGCAGGAGAATATAAACAGCATTCTCCACTGATGTTAGTTGATTATGTTGATAGTGAGCTCTGTTGTTTTTGTTTTTAAATTTGGTTCAGTATTCTTAATTAGCTTTTCTCTCATTATATTTAATTCTTTTTCTTCAGCAGAATTTACTGCATCTAAAAAAAATATTACAACTCTAAATAGAAGACTTCCCATATCTTAGTTAGTTATTTGCTTTCAGATCTGTCATCAAGATCCATCATGTTTTACATTTCTAAGAGCAACTAATCATAAAATAAAACACCAGCTGCTCAGTTTAAAATACAAAATGAATCCTATTCACAACTTTAACAACTTTCTGTTATTTCATAATAAAAAATGTTTTCTTCTCCTATAAAAGTGTCCCTGTTGTTTTAAGTGGGGACCCACAATCTTGCAAGGCCCTGACCTAACAGAGAAGTCTTATGCTATACTCTGAATAATTCTTTAAATGCAAGATATGTCTAACATTGCAGTCTACAGGATATCCAAATGACCCTGGGGATAAATTGTCCTGTGTAGAGCTCTGCACTGCTGCAGCTGGACTGCTTATGGTACTTGAGATAGCTTTGGGTATCGCTGTGCTACTTTGCAGTCTTTGTTGTAGACATACCCTCAGGCTCCAGGGTACAGCTGTAGAGAGAGAGCTGCAGAAAAGAAGAGTAATTTAAAATAAAGCTTGCAACAGAGCAGAGGTAGATGTGTAATAACTTGGTTAACTGGGCTCTAGATAATGTACACAAACTGAATTGTATTTAGAAGTTAGGAGTCCCAGAAAAGGCAGGCATACTGAGCATATGCTGATACAGCAGGGTCAGAATGTCCTGAAATCTTACGGTGGATGGACCACTTCAGGCATCCAGGGTTGGCAGAGCAGTTCACATTTCTTGCTGGTTCAGTCATTGATGCCTGTACTGATAGGACCAGAAAGGGTGTCATGTCAATGTTGGTAGTGGTCTTGTGATGGAATTATGGATACCTGGGGCCCAGGTGAATTGAGCTTGCTGTTAAGTACTGTCCACCTCCAGCATTTTGATTCTTCAAAATTCAAGTGGAGGTCTTAAAGGTAAAATGTATTCTGGCTTCATGAAGAGAGGTGCTCTATGGTCACTTAGTTGTTCTTGCTTTGTGGTAGGAAGAGGACAAAGGACAGCAGGATATGTAACTAAGGTGTTTATGTATTACCTAAAATATATTAGAAATGGATTTAATGCAATGAGTGTAATCTCAATGTAGAAGTTAGAGTTTAGGAAGAACTTTGCATCTGGTGCAAACACTGCTAGGTGAACTTATATCAGTTACTTCTGTGCAAAGTAAGGCTGCTTTTCCCAAAGGAGGTGTTCCCCTCTCACTAATCTGATAGATCTATTCAGCAGTTTCTTTCTGAGGCCTCAGACTGTTCTTCAGGCTAGCCTCATTTTTTTTCATTTGTTTAACGTCAGAGCAAGAACAGGCGCACACGGGGCTGACAACTTGGCTTTCATTTAGCATTGTGGGGCACATCTAGTGCCATACCAATCTGTCGACCTTGCTCACAAAGTGGTTGTGCTCTGAAATAAGTGAGTTTAATGTATCCTACTTTACCTTGTTTGTTTGGTAAACACATTTTTGAATGATTATTCTCTCTCTCACACACACACACACACACACACACACACATACACATACACACACACACACACACACACACACACTTGTAGCAAGATGAGTCCTACAAAGTTATGCCAGACTTTTTCTCAATTTAGAAAATAGGCAAAAAACCCTTGTTATTGAACATGGATCCTGTACATGTAGTCAGCTCTGCTTCATCCCAGACATTATAGGAGTCATCGTTAATAGGAGATCATTTATGGATTTAAGTAATAGGAGGAGTTATTTAGCCTTTATGTCATTACATAAATCTGGTTTGTTGTATCCAGGGTTTTGAAAACGATATGTAGCACTCTGCCTGGGAGGAGTAATAAGTGTTAAAGGATACTCTTCATTTTAGCTTTGCTTTAAAAAAAATTGCCAAAGAAAGATATAAGTTATCGTTCAACCTCATTGAACATGACAGAAGTTTGCTATATTTACAGTTCTGTTGACTGTGTTAAGGGTCTTATTGAGTCCACCAAATCCATCTTTTTGAAAGCTACACTGCTGATCAGCATACAGAATAGCCTTGTGAGTTGCGTAGCTCAGATTTCTCTTTAACATTAGTGGAAGGGGCTTCCAGGATTAGCTATTTTTGCGGCTGCTGCAGTTCCTCTAAACAGCAAGCATCATGTAATGCAGTTAAAGTCTCGTGTAATGAAATCATACAGTGAAATTGTTCCTACTGGTCTTTTTTACATGAAATAATTATGGTCATTCCTACTTCAGTTATAGGCATTTTGCTAAGGAAAAATTGATTTTTATATAACTGAGTTTCTTTGTAGTTTGTTCTAACAGGATTAGTACTCCATATAGAAAGTACCTATTAACTTCAGTCCTTCTATAAAAAGAACCATTTATGCAATTACCCTCACCTACTTCGTGAGAAAATTGTGTATACTTTGGACATTTACATTGTGTGCACAGAGTTACCTTGTGCTTTACAAAAGCTATTAACTTGGGTCCATTATTTTTACAGATCCTACAGAGAAGGTGACAATTCAAGTGCTGTCACAAAGCAGTACCATTAAAGAAGGTGATAACATCACTCTCAAATGCTCAGGAAATGGTAACCCCCCTCCTCAGGAGTTCTTGTTTTACATTCCAGTAAGTATTACTTTGCTGCTAGTGCTTAGCTACAATATTCAGCATCATTTCTTCCTATTGACACTACTGCATGTCTGAAACAAATTTTCATATGCTCAAATAACAACCAAAGTAATATAATGCTATTAGCAAGCTGAAAAGATAACCTCGGCAAGTTACAGCAATCTCCAGGAGGATCAAAACTTGGTGAAGGCTTGTAAGGTGGTGATTTTTATACCAAATGGTGCAGTGATTTAAACACCACAGTAAATAATGACCAGAGGAAAAAGTATAAACAGAGAAAACAATTTAACTTGCTCAAATAAGAGCACCAAGTAATCCCAACAGGCAAATCAAATAAACAGAGCAATTATGGGAACAAAATCCCACCCAAGATTTAGATCTGATTTTGGAAAGTATATTAAGAGAACTCCTCACATAGCAGCCTTCAGAAGAGCAGCAGAACTCGGGAGTGAAACTTAAGATATATGATTATTAGACAAATCTCTCTGGGAAACAAGATTTTCTGAGAACAGTTGGAAAAGAATTAAGCAAAAAGAGACTCAGTTAGCTTGAAGCTATTTTAACCTAATCCTGTGAGGTTGACCAGTTTAAGTCCTATATACCTACCATTTCAAACATAGGGTCTTTTGTTGCTGTTCCTCTGTTGCTGTATGAAACCCCATCACAAACAAGAGCTGAATGGCAACACAGGCAGAACAGTGGAACATAGTGCTATCATATGTACAAAGTACAAACTGGATACAAATCAATGTCCAAGCTATCTTGATGGAAGAGATCTTTGGACAACATAGTTCTACCTTTTGGCTGCTACCTTTCTTCCTTCTCTTGCTTTTGGCTGCCCTACTTTGTACGTGTGTTCTTCGTTTAAACCAGCTGCTAGACTTTTGGAGCAGGAGATACAGTGGCCTTCTTGCATGTTATTCCCTGGCCAGGGTACTGCATAAGGACTTCTCTCTTCTGGCACTGTGCATTGCTGAAGAATGGTGATGGGGAAGATGGGGTCTGAGGTGACTTGTCTCAGCACTTACAGTTAAGCTGAGTCACAGCAGACTTGAGGCCCTTGGCCAACCTCCAATTCCTCTGTTTTAATGCTATTTCATATAGTAGTGCACGAATGCCTTCTTGTGTTCTGTGATGAGCGTAGAAAACCTAAGGACCCTACTTGGCATGGACTACAGTAACTTCAGAGTCCTCCTCCCACCACAGGGAAGCTAGAATTAGTTCAGTCTTTGCTGTTTTTGCTGTGATTCTAAAGATATTTAATGCCACATGCTTCAGTATAGACTTACTTAAATTTGTTACAGCAGTTTGGGCAAGATACTGTTTCCCAATCTTGGTCTGTCTTACCTGCTAAGGTTGTTTTATATTTTATTTTCTGTTGAATCTTCTCTTCTCTTAGTATTTTGTAGTTGACACTTGAAACGTAAAACATTTTAACTTATGGGTAACTGTACTGTGCCTGAAATCTGGCAACAACCATAAAACTGTTTTGCTGAAAGGTGCCTGCATTTCAGTGGATTTAAATGGATACAGACTGAAAAGTTTCAGAATTCTTTAGGAATAAAGTCGGAGCATATAAAACTATTCAAAGCAAAGGTGACCACTTTTTTTTTTTTGCTTCCACCGACAGGGAGAAACAGAAGGCATAAGGAGCTCAGATACTTACATAATGACAGATGTGAGGCGAAATGCAACAGGAGAATACAAGTGCTCTCTGACTGACAAAGACCTGACGGGTTCAACCACCATCACTGTGCACTGTACGTTACTGGATATTTTAGTTCTATATCAGATTTTAAAAAACTGACAATATAGGCGTTAAGCCATCCCTGACTTACAAATGTGATTAAGTCCTATCAGTTACAGTAGAACCGAGCACTGGACTAATTAGATACAGAGTACTTTGTAGAGACAAGTAAGAGTCTTACTTGTTTTAATGCATTTTTCTAGTGTATTTTCATTGGTTTTTAACAGACTATCTTTTTCTTGTAGAATTAAAATAGATCTATATCTGTGTAGCTTTTGTTTGGGCAACAAACGAAGTAATAAAATAAAGCTGCAACAACACATTTTATTATTTTATGTTACAATCCGTGGTGAATTATGCATATTAATACAAAGCAAATTATTATGTTAAGACATTGCCTTGGAATCTTTTGTAAACTATGGAAAAAGTGAGCAGCCCATTATTTTGTCATTCAAGGCCATTCTTTAAAGGAATATATGAGTTACTGTAGTAGCTCCTACCAGTTCAACATCCTATTTTGGGAAAAAAGGCAGTACCAAATACTTTAGAAGGAATGCGCAAGGAGTCCTGTGATGGACTGTTATACACTTTGTCCATAGTGGAAGCTGTTTCTCCCTTATGCTTATTCCTTGAAGCAAATGAGTTATACAGTCCTGGCAGACTTCTGTGTTTGAGTTCCCTACTCTGTGTCCAGTTGTTCTTAAGCTTCCTTTGGTGCAAGTAAGCCAGATTGCTTCTCTGGTACTCTGTTCCTGTGTGAAAACATGACCCCTCTGCTCTTTCACTTTACTCAGGTTCCTCTGCCTCTTCAAATTCCTCAGGCTCTGTATTTTACAAACCACAATTAATGTCTGACCTCTTTGCTCTCCACTCTCCAAACCTCAGCCCTCTACCAAGAAATTGGAAAAAAAAACTGATTCCATCTAATACATGGCTATTTCAAGGTCCTAAGGTCCTCTGTCAAATGAGTCCTGAAGATTTAACACGCCTCTGCTTGCATGAGGTCTGAGAGAAATAACATGACTCTGGCAGCAAACAGGGGACTTCAAGGCGCT